TAAAAGTGATACAAAACTTCTATTTTTTTTTTTCCATAAAAATATGCAAACACATACATGTTCTGTTTTTAACAACGGATTATCAGATGTATGAGTATAATCATGATCTTCTGTTTTTTTTCTTATGATCTCCTAAGATTAGTTCCAAAGAGTTAATCAACCATATATGTAATACCATTATGTGGAATATGAACATATGCTGGCTGATTACTAAGAAGAAAATCTTATTGTTTATAATGCATTGTCTTAAAGAATTTCCAATTCATTTTTACTTATATAACATTATTAAAAGCTAGATTTATTCTAACTCACTTCTATTTTTTATAAAATATGAACTCTTAGTTTTAAATTGAGGAGAATAGATAATAATCTTCTATATTTAGAATAAAAAGGAAATTTTATTTTGATTTATTCTTAACTTATCTCTGTAGTTCTTTCAAAATAAATAATGTACATTATGTGGATGATTAACTGTATTCATCTACAACAAATACTAGTGTTTCAAAAGAATAAATTCTACAAAAAAATACTATTTTTGTGCTATATATTGAAGCAAAACTAAATTTTATATAATAGTTCATCTTATGTAAACAAAAATATAAAAATGAGTTGAAAATGCTCTTAAAAACATACAATATACTAAACTTTTACGTCTACTTTAAAATTTATCTATTAAAAATAGCAAACATATTAAAATGATCCTAGTTGAATTAGCACCATTTTCGTTGAAGATGTCCTAAATTTTGAATGAGCCAAAGAATTTAACCATTAATTGCTCTTAAAGATCGTAGCTAAATGTGTCCCAAAAACAGAAAGACAACAGTGGGCGATAGCCAAGTTATGTTTCCCTCCCACTTATGACTGGTCCTCTTTACTCCAACCGAATAGCTAGCTACTATATTACCGACCCATATGAATATATGATACCTCATGGTTATTATTTATTGGATAAATATACTGATTTATCAGATCAAATATACAATGCTATAAAATATATGATAAAAGTGTCCATAGAAATAAAGGACTGAAACAGTTTTAATGTAAATAATTGAGATTATCGTTTTACTGTTCTATGTAGGTTTTAATGTTTTATCTACCATGAAATATATATATATATATATATATATATATATTTGTATAACTATAACAAACATATGAAACAGAGTGCATTGCAACCTGATATGCACTAGCAGACTCTATAATCGAGAAGAATAAATAATTAAGTAATTAAATTTATTAACTGTGAAAGCGAGTTATTATACATACAACTAGGATAAGACCCGCGCCTTGCGCGTGATGAAGCTATTATTGTTATTATGTTTTTAAAAACGAAATAATAGTTCGGTTTCATTCGGATTAGTGGTGTTAAATCCGGATATCGGGTTTCGGTTCGGCTCGGTTTTTTGGTGTTTCGATCATTAAAATATAACTATTATTCTAAATCTATATGTACTTCAGTTTGATTTGGTTTATATACCATCGGTTTTCAGTTTATTCAATTTTATACCAAAAAACATAATTATTTAGTTTGAGATCATATTATATATTATACAAATATATAATATGATCATATTTAGAGTCATATTGTCACAGGGTCATTTATTAAAAAAATATTATTATTTAAATAAAAGAATAAAAAACAAAAAAAAAGCTTCTATCATCTAATAAAATGATCAAATCTAGAATTAATATCAAAACACTAAATTTTGAAAATAAAAATAAAAAAACAAAACAGAAGCATGAAAGAAAAGTTTTTATATTCGTCCATATTTAGTGTTCATCAAACCAATATGTCTTCAATTGAACACAACTCTGTTTGTTTAAAGATAAAAAAAAGTTGTAAAGAATTTCAACTAATTGTTGTCCATCAAATTTATAATCTTTACTTCAATTTAGTTACTGTTAAAAAAGCAAAAGATCAAAATAAGAAGTCTTAGTTGCAATAAATTGTTAGCTATTTACAAATTATAATTATAGTTCAACTCATATAACAAATAGATATTCATGCGTAGTTATAAATATATACATATTTACATGTTTCAGTTTAATCGATTATAAATCAAACCATATCCAAATCCTATGGTTTTTATAAAATCACATCCATTCGGTTTGTATGGTATATACCAAAAATAACCATATTATCGATTGTTAATATCTTTTAAAAATATAAAATTAAAAAAAGAACTAAGATATTTAAATCATTGATAACAAAAAATTTCAATGTGAAAAATTTAATAAGTTTATAATTTATAAATGTTCTTGAAAATTTATTGAAAATTTTGANTCCATTCGGTTTGTATGGTATATACCAAAAATAACCATATTATCGATTGTTAATATCTTTTAAAAATATAAAATTAAAAAAAGAACTAAGATATTTAAATCATTGATAACAAAAAATTTCAATGTGAAAAATTTAATAAGTTTATAATTTATAAATGTTCTTGAAAATTTATTGAAAATTTTGAAATTAAAATATTTATTTAATCTTATATGGTATATAGTTTCATCTGTATATATATATATATTTGTTTTATTATTGAATGATACTTTTTACTTATATGGTTTTAAAATCATGTATATCTTTTTATAATAAAATGTTAAACTATTGATCATTAATTTTTAACATAATAATTTTAATAGTTTAGTTATTTATTCTCATTTCTTAAAATTCAAAATATAACCTATACGAAAAAATCTAAAGTTTAATTTTATAGCTAATTTGATTGTTTAATTTATTTTAATAATATAAAATTAAAGAAAAATGATGGAGGATATATAAACTGTTATCAAATATTTATTATTATAATCATTAAGTGTCATATATATATATTAGTCATTTATGGTAATTCCGTAGGTTTTATTTATGGAAAGAAAATAAAATAGTAATTATATTTTAGGGAACAATCATTAAGTGTCATATATATATATTAGTCATTTATGGTAATTCCGTAGGTTTTATTTATGGAAAGAAAATAACATATCATATCATTATATCATATAGTTTGACTAACTAATGTATCTAGCAACCTATAAAAATTCAATGTGGACTTACTTATTTTTCAATTGAATCTAATTGACTACCTAATTGAATGACACCTATGCATTGGGGCCTCTTTTAATTAATACAAAATTGAGGTTACATCTTTTCAAATGTTCCTCAATTAATATATAGGGGATTAATTCTCTAGTAAAGGAAAAAAATGCAAAGCATCCCCTAACAACGGAGGACATACCAAACCCTGAAAAATCAAACCAACTTCCTAAGATCCAAAGATGATAGCATGTCTTTGTATAAACCTATACTACTCTCTACTCTCTACCCTCCTATCAAAACTCAAAAGTATGGCCCTATGAATTAAGCTGTGGGGAAGAGTAAATGCGCACATTCTATTTCAGATTTCAGTGAGTGGAGTGACTGTGTATGATCCTTTTCCCTCTAAATTACGAATGGGTAATATGGGCCTTATCTTTTTACCACACAGCCCATTAAAGCCCATTCGAACTCGTTTTTAAATTTGAGTATATTTGCAGCACTCGACGGTCCAACCAAAAATTAACAGCCACGTGAACCAGATTTGACAAACATAATTGTTTCCGCGTTCATTTAAAAAATAAAAATAATCATCTTAACTGATCTAACGGTCAGTAAACGTTGTCTAAATCGACACGCTAAAGCAGCTGATTATAACCCAAATTCCGACCAAAATGATACACACACACGGTTCTACCACTTTGTACCTTGTGTAATAACAATAATCCACTAAACCGAAATACTTCAAAACGCCGTCGTTTTATAAAGAGTAAAATCTTCTGAAGCAATAGTTAATGAGAGAGAGAGAGAGAATGTTCGTCTTCTTCTTCATCTTCCTCGGATCTCTCTAATTTCTCCTTCGTCTATCTCCCTATTCACTCAGAATTCTGATAGTTTTCTTCGGAAATTTATCTTCTTTCCGAGATAATCCCTCGATTCAACTCTTCTCTCGTATCTCACCGATCTCTCTCTGGCCCACTGATATAGATAAATATTTGGGATATTTCCAAATATTTATTATTTATTTTATTAGTTATTTTAGATAATTATCTTTATTGTTTTAGGGTTTTATGGTTTTCATATATATAGGCTTCTTATGCCTAGAGTTGTATTCAGTTGATTGATTAATAATAAAAGAAGCTTTGCTTTATACCTTGATATAGATTTGATTCAATTCA